AAAGTGTGCAATCTGAAACCTTTCAATCTGCTGCTTGACAGCCTTTGCCGCTGCCAAGTAGTTTGGTTGAGTTTTATATTGTAAGTTCCATTGCTATAGTTCATCTGCAAATCTGATGCTAACATTTGATAAATGTTTGCTGATTAAACAGGGAGGGATCAATGTCCCTGGTGCAGTTTCTTTGAATATATTTATCAATGTTACTGAGGAATTACCAGTGGAAATAAAAATCCTATTTATAACAATGTGATACCATAAAGTAGTGTCAACTATTTTCTTGGCTTTAAAAATATTCATTAATATTTACTGAAAGTGTTAGAAATAAACGATGTAATGGTCAATACTTTGTCACTCATGTGTCCTTTGATGACTTGATGGATTTTGGAAATTGTTCGAGGACCTGGGTCTCACTGGTGCTATGACATTTTCATTACACATTAAAATCTCGAGATAGCTCCCAAAAGGACTCCAGTTCCTGTGGCATTCATAGAAAAATGCAACAAAGCCAAGCAGTAAAATTAAAGTATATCTTTTCTGATGGTGTGGCATATTTTAAGCATTCATTGTGCAGTATTTATCATCAAGCACTCCAGATGTGATGGCTGACTAAAAAGATTCAGCCAAAACTGCAACTGAATAAGTAAATCCCCTCAAATGGAAGAGAGCTTCAGAAATAGACACAGGGGTAAGAAGATTTATATTCAGCTGAGCAATGCTGGGGGGATAAGTATGTGTGGCCTTGGTTCATTTTGAAATTCTTGTGTGACCTCCAGGAGCCAAGCAATTTCTTTTCTGTCAGGTTTCCAATTGAATTTGGTTCTCTTAAAGTATAAAATATAAGTAAACAGGGAATGAGAAAATGCCAGTTAAGTTATTAGGCCGGCTATTTGCTAGGAACCATATTCATTGTTATTTTAATATGCAATATTATTATCATGGAATGTAATAATTTATATTCTCTTCTGAGGCAGATGAACAACTACAGATCAAACTCACTGAAACTTCTCCCGAGCTTCCAAAAGGTAATTGAAAGAAATTTCAATTTATCAATCCATTTTAGAACTTACATCAACTGTGGCAGATTCCATTTCATGGGAGACATTCCCATGATCCCAATAAAGCCTGGCCCGGGAATGCCAAGTGCAATAGCCTGATTGTTGTTATGGAGGGATCAGCAAATTCAACACGGACAAGGATTGAACCTGCGACCTTTCTAGTCAGCATGGCTCAGTTTCTTACTAGGCTTGTCAATAAAGGTGATAGACTTATTTGGTTAGAATAGTCCAGTACAGGACTGCTGCTGGTATCGGTGGAACCATAATCTAACATGTTTCTGATGGTAAAAAAATTATAATAATAATTTGCTCACTTAATCCACGACTGTTTGTGGGACATGACTGTGCGCAATTGGCTGCCGTGTTTCGCCCGCAAACCATAATCAATTCACTTTACAGTATATTCTGTGAAGTGCTTTGAGACTACTAGAAGATGCGATAAGGCGCTATATCAAAGGCAAGGATTATTATTATTATGATTCTCTTAAAGAGAACAAATAAGGGAGAAGGGTTTATTTTAATTGAAATTAGATATTTCTCATATACAAAATACAAAATAATTGAAATAAAAAAAACTGTGTTCATTTATTCCATTGAAAATATTGCAGCCGCTTTATAATAAAAAGGATTGTATTGATTTGTTACTGTGAGGCAGGTTGTTATCCAATTGAAATTAATAGAATTGTGTATAATTATTACCAAGAGACTGATGGAAATGCTCCGAAATGTATTGAATTATGTTTAGCTACAACAGTTAAGATACATTGGAATTCCATTAAAATGCACTTTTCCAATCCTTGTACACTTGTTCCTGGGAGATGGATTGCAAGCAAATCGACTTGTCTGTCAGCCAGGCTAGGTTTAGTACAGTATCATTCTTGCCTGAGTCAGTGGAGCAGTTTTGCTGAGACTTGGGTCCTGTCCCAATCCCTCAAAACCTGGGACTATTGGGAGATATGCAACTGGCGCCCAATAGTTTGAGAACTTCTGGTCTAGGGTGATAGTCCAATGTGATGCTGGGAGTTCTGCATTGTTGAAGGTTCTGTCATTTGGATGAGACAATCACAAGATGAAGAGAATCCTTTAGCCCATTCAATCTCATTGTTCCAGAACGATGTTAAGACAAGTTTCTATCTGCCTGTTCAGGTAGATGTTAAAGATCCATGGCACTATTCAAAGAGAGAAGATTTCCTGGTGTCCTGGCCAATAATCCCAAAATATCATTGGTCATTCATTTTATGTCTGTTTGTGGGACATTACTATTATGTTGCTATGCTTGCCTATAGAAAAAAAACAGGAGCTGCACTTGATATTGAATCCTGTGTCGCACTTTGAGATGTCCTCCCAACATAAAAGATGACATGTTGAATGTAAGTATTATTGAATTCATTTGTAAGTGCAAGCATGCGGAAATGAAGAAAGCTGTGTTCATCTGCTGCAGGTGCACACATTGCAAATCTGTTTCATGGAATTGAGTGATGCTTGTTATAATCAGATAGATTGAAAACTAATTAAAATCATGGTCAAACACATTAAAGGGTTATTTTCCATAAACAGCCATTAATGGTTTGTTAGGAAGCTGATGTTAATGAGTAAGATCAAAGAATGCCGTTTCGCTTCTGCTTGTCGAGTTAATATATAGACCTTTTAATGATGACTTTTATCTGAAGTATATGCTGGAATAAATAGAAAACAGATAATCCTGAAAATGCAAAGATGGCCAGCGCAGCATCTGAAAAACGGGTATGGAAGGAGGCTTATTCAACCCATCAAGCTTTCCCACCAATTTATTAGATCTGAAAAATTCAGAGTGCAATTTCCATTTGTCAGAACATGTACACTGCATAATGCCAAGCTGATAGGTCCTTGTTTATTGATAGTTGTGCTCAGAAGACATTTTAAAGGGTGTTACTGTCCTATGTATTGTGATTCTTGTGTTTCCCAGCCATAAACATGTTCACTCTACATTTGATTATGAGTATATTAATTTTCGGGAGTACGCAACTTGAGTGATTTCAACCTAAGGCAGTGAAAGAGCAGCTGATAAGAGATTTTGCAGCTCTATACTTCCAATTTTCCTCCAGGAAAAATTTGTCACAAGGATTTTAGCAATTTTTTCTCTCTTTATTCTGTCTCCACTGCTTCCTTGGATGCCTCTTTTTTTCTTCTTCTGTTCTCCCTGTTCTCACTCTCTCTCTCTGTTCCAACTATTCTCTCCTCTAAGTTCTCGGTGCTTTGTCTGTTCCCTCCATTACTCTCCATGTTCCCGGTGCTCTCAATCCTCCCTCCCTTTCTCTCTCGCCCTCTCTCTGCTCTGTATCGTTCCGCGCTCGGTATCCTTCAAAAACCAACCCACCCACCAAAAAACTACTCCTAATAATAGTAATAATTTGGGTCCCTCCAATCCACGACTGTTTTGCGGCGACGCTGCTGTGCGAGATTGGCTGCCACGTTTCGTCCACAAAATACACAGTCACTACGCTTTCCGGTATATTTTGTGAAGCGCTCTGAGACGTGATAAGGCGCCGTATCCAATGCGAGGATGACGATGATGATGACGATGACTATTATTATTATTATGGTCTATTCTCTATTCTGTCTGTTCTCTCTACTGTGTCTATGTTTTGAACCCTCTCTGCCCCGCCCCCTCCGCTCCTGCCCCGCCCCCTCCACTCCTGCCCCGCCCCCCTCCACTCCTGCCCCGCCCCCTCCACTCCTGCCCCGCCCCCTCCCTCCTGCCCCGCCCCCTCCACTCCTGCCCCGCCCCCCTCCACTCCTGCCCCGCCCCCCTCCACTCCTGCCCCGCCCCCCTCCACTCCTGCCCCGCCCCCTCCACTCCTGCCCCCCCCTCCACTCCTGCCCCCCCCCCCCCCCCCCCCCCCCCCCCCCCCCTCCACTCCTGCCCCGCCCCCTCCACTCCTGCCCCGCCCCCTCCACTCCTGCCCCGCCCCCCTCCACTCCTGCCCCGCCCCCCTCCACTCCTGCCCCGCCCCCTCCACTCCTGCCCCGCCCCCCTCCACTCCTGCCCCGCCCCCTCCACTCCTGCCCCGCCCCCTCCACTCCTGCCCCGCCCCCCTCCACTCCTGCCCCCCCCCTCCACTCCTGCCCCGCCCCCCTCCACTCCTGCCCCGCCCCCTCCACTCCTGCCCCGCCCCCTCCACTCCTGCCCCGCCCCCTCCACTCCTGCCCCGCCCCCCTCCACTCCTGCCCCGCCCCCCTCCACTCCTGCCCCGCCCCCTCCACTCCTGCCCCGCCCCCTCCACTCCTGCCCCGCCCCCTCCACTCCTGCCCCGCCCCCTCCACTCCTGCCCGCCCCCCCCCCCCCCCCCCCCTCCACTCCTGCCCCGCCCCCCTCCACTCCTGCCCCGCCCCCTCCACTCCTGCCCCACCCCCTCCACACCTGCCCCGCCCCCTCCACTCCTGCCCCGCCCCCTCCACTCCTGCCCCGCCCCCCTCCACTCCTGCCCCGCCCCCCTCCACTCCTGCCCCGCCCCCTCCACTCCTGCCCCGCCCCCCTCCACTCCTGCCCCCCCCTCCACCTGCCCGCCCCCTCCACTCCTGCCCCCCCCCTCCACTCCTGCCCCGCCCCCTCCGCTCCTGCCCCGCCCCCCCTCCACTCCTGCCCGCCCCTCCACTCCTGCCCCGCCCCCTCCACTCCTGCCCCCCCCCCCCTCCGCCCCCCCCCCCTCCTGCCCCGCCCCCTCCGCTCCTGCCCGCCCCCCTCCACTCCTGCCCCGCCCCCTTCCGCTTCTGCCCCGCCCCCCTCCACTCCTGCCCCGCCCCCCTGCTCCACCACCCTCTCCCTCTTCCCATCTCACCTCGCTGCGGTTCCTCTCCTGGCCGCGGGATGGCGCTGTAGCTGGAGTCGGGCCACCCTCTCCCCCGCCTCCCCCCATCCCTCACGCACCTCCTCGTTCTCTCGCGAGCTTTCCGAAGTCTCGGAGTTCGTGGACCGGCGGAAGCTCCACGTCAGAGGGTCCAGCGGGTGGCGCCGGGGGAGAAGCAGCCGAGATGGTGAGGGCGGCCTTGTCCGGCAGCGCGGGGGGTGCGGCGAGAGAGAGTGAGAGAGAGAGACCACAGGAGAACCCCCCCCCCCCCCCCCACCCCGGGCGTTACCTACCCCGCGAGCCGGGCCCCGGTGCGGGGGAGGGGGAAGCTTCTCCTGGTGAAGTGGCCGGTGCCGAAGGCGTTGGGCCTGACTGTGGGGAGAGGTTGTCTGTGTGTCTCTGTGTGTGTGTGTGTGTCTCTGTGTGTCTGTGTGTGTGTGTGTCTGTGTGTGTGTCTGTCTGTGTGTCTGTGTGTGTGTCTGTGTGTGTGTCTGTCTGTGTGTGTGTCTGTATGTGTGTGTGTGTGTGTCTGTGTATGTCTGTGTGTGTGTATGTCTGTGTGTGTGTGTGTGTATGTCTGTGTGTATGTCTGTGTGTGTGTCTGTCTGTCTGTGTGTGTATGTCTTGTGTGTGTGTCTGTCTGTCTGTGTGTGTATTAGTCTTGTGTGTGTGTGTGTGTGTGTGTGTATTAGCCGGTCTGTGTGTGTGTGTGTGTGTGTGTATATGTCTGTGTGTGTCTCTGTGTGTGTGTGTGTGTGTATGTCTTGTGTCTGTCTGTGTGTGTCTGTCTGTCTGTCTGTCTGTCTGTGTGTGTCTGTCTTGTGTCTGTGTGTGTGTGTGTCTGTCTGTGTGTGTCTGTCTGTCTGTGTGTGTATGTCTTGTGTCTGTGTGTGTGTGTGTCTGTCTGTGTGTGTCTGTGGCTGCCATCGCTTTGCTGTCTGTCAGGACACAGTGTCTGAGCTCCTTAAACTTCCTGAACTGACCAGTGAGGTGAGGTCTGGCCTTCGCTTGGCGTTTCACTGGTCAAATCCGCTCTTTGTTCACAGCGGCAAACACAAGTTAACCATTTATTATTATTATTAATTAATTTATTATTAATAATAATATCAAATAATAATAATAGTTAATACTCCTGTGCGCCGTATATCAGGTCTTCGAGATGTCTCGAAGCTCTTCGCGGAATAATAAACGTAATAATAGTTATTAACGCGGCAGTGGCAATAATAAAAATAAACGCGGCAGCCAATTGCGCACAGCAGTGTCCCACAAACAATCGTGGTTTGAGTGACCAAATTATTATTATTATTTTGGAAGGGATTATTTTGCCCGGGAAAACGATCCGCCAATTGACTAACCACCGGGTTCCTACTTACTGCTGGGTAAACAGAGCCGTGTGGAGGAAGGAAACTTGCCCAACGTTTCGCCCTGCCGGGAATCGAACCCAGATCCTCTCGCTTGCGAGGCGAGTGCTCTAACCACCACCAACAACAAATTACACTTGTATAGTGCCCTCCCCGCCAGATAGACGTCCCAGGGCACTAAGCTACAGGCCTCCACTTTTAATGCTGAAACCACTAAACTACAGGACTTCACTATTAATGATGATTTTTATCTGAAGTATATGCTGGAATAAATAGAAAACAGATAATCCTGAAAATGCAAAGATGGCCAATTCAGCCTCTGAAAGAGAAAATGGATCAAAATGGAAATAAAATCTAAGATCGAATCCCTGCCCTGAGTAAACGTTCCCTTACCATCCAGTATGGTGATGATGGTGCAGGTTGGGGAAATATGGAGATACAAGTGATAAAACTACAATTAACATCTGTGCCCTTAATAAGAAGGGTTTATGTGATTGACACCATCTTAATGCCAAGACTGTTTAGAGAGCTAGAGAGCTCACCACTTGAAGCCTGACAGAGCTGGGGGGCGGTTTCGTGGTGGAAACAATCTCAACTTTTTCAAAATCACCAAGAGCCTATTTGGTGAAAAATGCACTTTGGTTCATTGTTCTAATTCTTTTAGAAAACCATCCTTCCTGCTACAGCTGTTCCCAAAACAAACCTAGTGTTCTGTACTCTAAAAGAATGAGTTCTTGGTATCTGCATGAAGGGTAGATTGTTGACATCATGTTAACGCCTGGTTAACGTTTACTTTACAGCCTTTGAGACTCGATATCAAACGGAAGCTGACCGCTCGGTCTGATAGGGTAAAAAGCGTGGACTTACACCCGACTGAGCCATGGATGTTGGCCAGTCTCTACAATGGAAGCGTCTGTGTTTGGAACCACGAAACCCAGGTATGGCTGCTTGTGTCATGTAAGTTTTGTTGCAGTTTCTAAACAGAAATTATGTTTAAAATATACAGTAGAACCTGAAAAAGGAAACATAAGCAGCTTCAATAGTAAACCACAAAAGATGTGTGTGTATATGTGCATACACACATGTGTATAGCAAGAACCTTTTTTTTTTGCAAAATCTTTTTGAACAGTAAAACTGCTACTGCACTTCTGGAAATGCAATGCAGAGCTTGAGTATACATATATTTGATAATCCACTTATTTTAGGTTTGAAGAGCTGCAGTGGGGAGATAGCAATATTTAGCTAAATATTCCACCAATATTTATGAATTTATAGTCTATTTTTATATGTCACTAAAGTCAATCACCAAATTACTGGGTGCAGAATTGTTTCATGCACCAGAGCTGTCTAGCATCTACGCCATGAACTGAAGAACTGAAAAAACAAAATAAATAATGTATACAGCGAGAATATTTAAAGGATAAAGGTTGAGCTAATATTGCAATTGGTTTTGAAGAAATTATGAAAATTGATGTTTTTCTCTGTGTGCTCTTGCAGACTCTAGTGAAGACCTTTGAGGTGTGTGATTTGCCCGTAAGGGCTTCAAAATTTGTGGCCCGAAAAAACTGGGTGATCACAGGAGCAGTAAGTATTTCTGACTATATCATTAAGAATACAATTGGGGGGGGAAAAATCGACGGAGCGCATGCTGATCATTAACTTGGCACAAGTATCTTTATTACTTTATATGGCCAAGAAAGAAATCAACCTTAAAGAAGCAAATTGTCTAAAACTTGAGATATATGATCATACCTTTTGTGGTGATTTCTTTTGGGGATGTGAAATATTAGAGATGTTCATCCATCTATTTTACCTGGCTATTTTGATTCCTTTTAAATCATAAATGAACATGTTTACCATTTACAAGTTTGAAAGTCATTTTGAAATAGTAGTTTGTAGAAAAGGCTGTAACGATTTAATTGAATGAAATGTGTACGAACAACTTGAAAACTAACTGGAAGAGACAAAAAAACTTCTTGTTTAGGGCTGTGAATGATTTTTCTTCCTTCTAATTTAGGATGATATGCAAATCAGAGTTTTCAATTATAACACACTGGAGCGAGTTCACATGTTTGAAGCCCATTCAGATTACATCCGCTGCATTGCTGTACATCCAACACAACCTTATATCTTGACCAGCAGTGGTGAGTGTGCATTTCCTCACTGATTTTTGTTCAAACATTCCTTTTGGAAAAGTATTCTAAATAATGCTATCTGCTATTTGAAGGATGGTTTATGATATGGTCACTTTTTTCCGCTTTGCAGATGACATGCTTATCAAATTGTGGGACTGGGAGAAGAAATGGTCGTGCACTCAGATTTTCGAAGGACACACACATTATGTCATGCAAATTGTGATCAACCCAAAAGACAACAACCAGTTTGCTAGTGCATCTTTGGACAGGACCATTAAGGTATTGATCAAGGATGGCAAGTAGTAAAATTCTGTTGAGAAGAAGCAGAGAAAACTTTTGTTGCAGTTCCTTTGTTTTTTTTAGAAAAAGGCTCTTTGGTCAACTTCTTTGGGTAGAAATCACATTGTAAAGTGTAAGGTCTATAAAACCACGTGTCGTTAAAATCACATTGATGTTAAAATTATGGATACAAATCTTTTGCTGTGATATTGAATAATGAATTTGTTTTTTTATGTGTTTGTGAACGTTGATACAGTTTTTCCTTCTATACCAGTTGGTGGTCATGTTTTCCTTTAAATTCTTAATTTCTTTCAGTGAATAATCTGTCGATTAGTTATTAATTTTAGAATTGTCTTATTCCAGGTGTGGCAGCTTGGCTCATCCTCACCCAATTTCACCTTGGAGGGTCATGAGAAAGGAGTGAACTGCATTGACTACTACAGTGGTGGTGACAAGCCCTACCTGATTTCTGGAGCTGATGACCGCCTGGTTAAAATCTGGGATTACCAAGTAAATGCTTCTAACTAGACAATAGAGTTATAGTATTTTAAGACATATGGAGTGTTTTGCTACTTAAAATTGTTAGTCCGTTGGATGATTGTTAAGTTTCAGTCCTGTCGTAGTAACTAAAGATTTATTCAGGTATCTCAGCTGAAATCTGTGTTATCTTGACTACAGAATAAGACGTGTGTACAGACACTGGAGGGTCATGCACAGAATGTCTCCTGTGTTAGCTTCCATCCTGAGCTGCCGATCATCATCACAGGTTCAGAGGATGGTGAGTATTACACAAAGCTTTTAGTTTGCGTGACTTTTTTTCAAATCAAATAAAAAAGTCAACCGGTTACTTATTGTATGAATAAATAAACCATTGTGCAGCATTTTCTTGTCAGATAGTGGGGTATGTTCCCCAAAGATTAGCATGGGTACGTTCGCATGGCAATAAACATTACAAACTAATTTAACATTATGTAATTTAACTGAACATTAAGTAGGTGATTAATTATTTTTATTAAAAATGTTTCTGTGTATACTTTGAAAGAGGATATTTCAAGCTTCTAGTTTTGTATAACTATAGATTTGGTACTGAAATTCCTTAAGATAATGTTAAACTATTATCCTTCATTACGGCATGTAACTAGCCCATATTATTCTGTGAAGGCACTGTCCGCATTTGGCATTCGAGTACTTATCGTCTGGAGAGCACGTTGAATTATGGAATGGAACGAGTCTGGTGTGTCGCGAGTCTGAGGGGTTCCAACAATGTGGCTCTAGGCTATGACGAAGGCAGCATCATAATTAAGGTACTGAATAAAAAGTGCTTCAGTTTGGATAGGGCACAAATTGACAGTGATTTCTTTGAGTGCTTGCATATAGATTCTGTTAGTGGCATTTGAGTTCTATCACCACTGTGATGTTGGTCTTTTGATTATAATCACAAGCTACACAGTGACAATGCTGTTCCATCTGCTAATTATTCTATAAATGTAACTAACTGATGAATGCATACTCAAAATTGTGGAGATCTCTTTGATAAATATTGCCTCCTCTGTGGCTTTGATATGTTGTGTTTACCTTTGTTTGTGGCTTTTTAAAGTAGTATTTGAATATGGGGGTCTATTTGTGACCTTCTGTTTCAACAAAGGAACATCGGTAGCATATAGATGAATCTAACCCTTTTCCTATGTGCACCAGAGCATCTCTGACTGCGTGGGGCCCATTTAATGTTTGCATTTCCGGAGAGTAAAGCATATGTACACACGGAGCTTTTACCTACTTACCCACCTGCCCCCAAGTTAAATGTTTTAAAATCTTGTGAATTAACTGGAAAGCCAATCTGCATTATTTCCTTACTTTTCAAGTGCAAAATAAGAATTTTTAAAAAAAATTATTTTTACTTATTTTTAGCTTGGTCGTGAAGAACCGGCCATGTCTATGGATTCCAATGGTAAAATTATTTGGGCCAAACATTCAGAAATCCAGCAGGCCAACCTTAAAGCAATGGGAGACACTGAAATAAAGGACGGTGAAAGACTGCCCCTCGCAGTAAAAGACATGGGCAGTTGTGAGATCTACCCACAGACCATCCAGCACAATCCTAATGGAAGGTATGGTCTTCATTTCTCTCAGCTTATCAATGTTTAAAAATGTAGTTTTCAGACTGTTAATGTCCCATGTTTGATCGTTGGTTTGTCCTGAGTCAGCTGATTGAGCTAGGCTAGCTTGGCCCCAGCACCCTAAGGGAAAGAAACCTCAGCCATGGTTCCTATATCTAACTCCAGTACTCCCCTAATGTGGGTACATGCTTCTGGACATGTTTCAGTATCTAACTTAATTGTAATGCTGCCATACTCAAATAGCTTGCCTGCACAGTCAAGGCTCATACCTGAATACATTTCCAGTTGTGAAACATAACAGAGGCTGATGGAACTGCACCACAGTAGAAAGGACAAATGACTCCAGATTTTGAGGAACAAAGGGGAAGGAAATAAAGCAAAAATATACAAGGCTCGGGTCGCAATGTTTGTAATTGTGAACTACTCACGTGAAAATGGTGATCCCATCCAAACCTTAACTGCTGTAGTTCTTTGATAGCTTTATAAAATAGGGATTTCCAAAGTGTAAATTAAGTACAGCATTGAAACTTGTGGAATTTTAATACTCCCAATATACATTTACTCTGTAATGTTAGTTTGTAGAAATCCTGAATTTTTGCCAATTATTGTTGCCAGCTTCTGCTTTTGAATGGGGATATTTTATCTTTAGAGGTATTTATGAGAAAGCGTAAAGTTAGTATTTATAGTGTCTATTTTGGACTTGTTACTTAGGTTTGTTGTCGTGTGCGGTGATGGGGAATACATTATCTACACTGCAATGGCTTTGAGAAACAAGAGCTTTGGATCTGCACAGGAATTTGTGTGGGCACATGACTCATCTGAGTAAGTAGAAATTGAGGTTGAAACATTTAATCATGTCTGTGTGCCTTACAAGTGGTCCCAGTGTTTCTGAGCTTGGGAGGGGAAAAATCAGCCTGATGGCTGGTAACCCCTGCTAGAAAGTGCATGTTTATCAATGGCTGGCGTGAGGATAGATTTGGATGCCTCCGTTGTTACTTAACCTGTTGATACTTCACTGTCTAAGACATGAAGAATGACCACTTGGATGAGGCATCAAATGGTGGCTGTGGAACTGTATTACAAGATGGCACAGTACCTTTAGAATAGGGGGAGGAAAATTGGCAAGAAAAGAGGTTACAAGACTATGGGGAACTGCTTGATAACCAAGGGCTTTGCCCCTCTTTCTGCAGGTACTCAATAAGGGAAAGCAACAGTGTTGTAAAAATTTTCAAAAATTTCAAAGAAAAGAAATCCTTCAAGCCAGATTTTGGAGCAGAAGGTAAGAAGTTGCAGTTTGACCAAAACCATTCATCTGTCATTTGTGTTAGTGTCAATTAAAAGTTTGAAGATCAATATACCCATGGATTTAATTTGTTACTAGAACAAGGTTTCCTTTGTTGTTCTGTTTTTATTGAATACAGGTCTCTGGTTGTGATAACTGAAAAGATTCTTATTCATAGGTATCTATGGGGGATTCCTTCTGGGTGTCAGATCAGTGAATGGCTTGGCATTTTATGATTGGGAGACCACTGAACTCATTCGCAGAATTGAAATCCAACCCAAATATGTGAGTGTGCACCATTTACCAAAAAATTCCCCAACTTTAATATGTTTTTTTTTTGCAATTTTATATTAAGTGTCTTTCTATGGCATTTATGTTTAGCATTATGTTTACAGGAATTATTTTAAAAAGCTAACTTACTGGGTTAGTTCATTTCAGTTTGTGCTAATAGCTACCTGGCATGTGTATTCCTTTTGCAATTAATTCTGTTACACCATGTGGATTTTCAATTATCAATTGCTGACGTTTCTTTGTTATTTGAATTCTCGATGAATGCGTTTGGAACTATGGTAAAAAGAAAGAAATGTTGAATTAGGAGAAGTGAAGTATGGAAGATACCCAGGATGCCTTGATATTTTATACTGAGGTCATCAGTGTCAAAGCCTGACAAAATAATTGCCTTACCGTCATATAACACTATCGTGCCTGTTTTCTTCCATCAGATATTCTGGTCCGATTCTGGTGAACTGGTCTGCATTGCCACAGAAGACTCCTTCTTCATTTTGAAATATCTTTCTGAGAAGGTGGCTACGGCACAGGAAACACATGAGGGAGTTACAGAGGATGGTATTGAAGATGCTTTTGAGGCAAGTTTCAAAATTCCTTGTAGAACTGAAGGAGGAACATTTCTCAAAAGAGAAAGAAACATTTGAAACGATTCTTTACTAAAATGGCTAAATCATATACTGTAAAATCCACTTGACTGGATTCTGTGTATTCAAGTATAATTGACTATGATTGTATTGTTCAGAACTTAACTCTGTCTCCAAAACTGTCCAGATATGTAGCGATATTGGACATTAGTTGTTCAGACATATTAGAATCATTGAATTTGGTTCCCCATCTTCTCAGGTTCTTGGTGAAATTCAGGAGATTGTGAAGACTGGATTGTGGGTAGGAGACTGCTTTATCTACACCAGCTCTGTGAACAGGCTTAACTACTATGTTGGAGGAGAAATCGTAACCATTGCTCACCTTGATAGGTGAGTGGATAATTTTGGTATTGGAGAGATTAATATGCTAATATTTAATTTATACATAGAAAATGAATCAGATAATGCATTTCTGTGTACCTCACATATTCCATTTATTTCAAATGCAAAGGATTTTGTTTATTTTGAAATTAAAAGCTGTTAAACTTGAAAGACAAGCACACAAAATAAGAGTTACTATGGGAAGTCTGATCTCTAGTTTATTTACTAATTTTCTGCTGCTATTTTGAATCAAGGAATTGATACTAAAACAACAACAAAATGAATTAAAGATTTTTCCTTTCAGGACAATGTATCTCTTGGGATATATCCCAAAGGATAATCGCCTGTACTTGGGAGACAAAGAGCTAAACATTGTGAGTTATTCTCTGCTCGTCTCTGTGCTCGAGTATCAGACTGCAGTCATGAGGAGGGATTTTGGTATGGCTGACAAGGTTCTGCCCACAATTCCAAAGGAGCAGCGGACTAGGGTGGCACATTTCCTCGAGAAGCAGGTGAGATAATGGGTGTGAACAGCAGCACTTTAGAAGCTTTGTTCCAATTGCATTCCACAGGCGTTAAATTAAGCAAAACACACGAGGTTATCATAAATGTAATATTTTTAAATAGAATGAGTAGTTAATCATACTCCTCTACTGATGATGGTTACATATAAATAGGATGTTTTTGCAGCAATCCACAGTTAAATCATTCTGAAATGAACGATGTGATGAGTGGATTGTGTACTCTAGGATTGTGGAATCTAAATTGCTTAGCATTGGAGGCACAAATTAGTTCACAGGTCTTATTGGGCAAGAGAAATAATCAGGTTTTCACAAACATCTTTTAGTTTGTTTATTAAATGTACAGGATGGCCCTGTGGTCCAAAATAAATGAAATGCTTTGTTTGTATTACCTTATTTTGTCTTAATAGAGATTGAAAGGATTCAAAGGGTTTGAAAAGTTCCTCTTGTTTAAGTCCCAGCAAATATTTTTTAAATATCCTGAACAACACATGCACAGATTGAAATTGGGGGAGTTAGAATTTTTACATTTCCTTAGGGACAAATGCTCGTTGCTGGCCTAGATTTAACAAGGATTGAATTAAAATCAGAAAATGGGGATAGGGGACAGGAGGAGTAAAAGGTGGAGTGAAAGAACAGTAATCTGGATAGCTTAACTTTTGACTACAGATTCCTGTCCAGTAATTGGAAGGAATACATTTATTTTTCACAAGGTTACTAACGATATGTTCTTTCTCCACACATAGGGCTTCAAATCACAGGCACTTGCAGTCTCTACTGATCCAGAACATCGCTTTGAACTTGCATTACAACTGGGAGAACTGAAGATTGCCTATCAACTTGCTGTGGAAGCTGAGGTATTGCTGTAACATCTCTCATCTGAAAACTAACTGCTGTGTTGGGTGATGAAGTTCAGCAGGAAGATGCAGATTTTTTTTCATTTACATCTTTCAGTGGAGCTGTGATTAATTAAATTAACTTGGATTAGTGTCAAGTTAATCATCAAAATTTTAAGACAATCTCTGCCAAATTACATGAAGATTACATTAAGAAAAAAACACATTCAAAATCTCTTATTTTCAGCTGAGGCAAAACTGCACTGTATTGACCCACAACCCTTTTGTTGGACGAGAAATTAACAACCGTCTTCACTTTGGTTTTACAGAATATAAATTTAGAGAAATATTCAGCACCCAAGAACAAACGAGGGGCTTCATGGCTTGTCTCACTGCTTTGTTTTTGCCCCACAGTCAGAGCAGAAATGGAAGCAGCTAGCAGAGCTTGCCATCAGCAAGTGCCAGTTTGCCCTGGCTCAGGAGTGTTTACACCATGCGCAGGATTATGGTGGATTATTATTGCTGGCCACTGCCTCCGGCAATGCTGCAATGGTTGACAAATTGGCTGAAGTGGTGGAAAAAGATGGCAAGAACAATGTGGCCTTCATGACTTACTTCATGCAAGGAAAGTAAGTACAGCTACTGCTACAATTTTAGATGCAAATACCCAACTTTCTAACTTTAATCAATACTGCAACTATTTTGAGCTTTGTGTGTATTCAGGGCACGATTTGCACAAATGAAAACAATTATAATGGCTTATGTACTATTTGTGCAATGTAATCAACACAATGTTCAGTTTAAATTTCTTGTAGTAATGAAGTAGAAGAAATATTTTCAAGATGTTCCTCTGTTGTATTTTCTGATCTTTCGGAAGTCTTTGCTATGGTCAAAGAAATTGATATAGTGATAAATTACTCTTATCCTGGGTGACTGGATTTAATAAGGATTATTTATGGTTTAGGTTTTCGGTTCAAACTTTTAGCTATTTCATTTTTTTAAAAAAAAACTTTTTTTTTACTGCGTAGACTTGACAATTGTCTGGAACTGTTGATCAAAACAGGACGCCTGCCAGAAGCTGCCTTTTTTGCAAGAACCTATCTCCCGAGTCAGATCTCCAGGTACTATTTCAGTGAATCATTATGAAAAATTCTTCCACAGAGCCTGTTATTTTGTGTACGCGTGTGTGAGAGAGTGAGTGAGTGAGAATGTACTTGTTTAAACTGGCTGGTGTTTCATCTTTCCTGCAGGGTTGTGAAATTGTGGAGAGAAAATCTGTCTAAAATAAATCAGAAAGCGGCCGAATCCCTAGCTGACCCCACAGAATATGAAAATTTATTCCCAGGCCTAAAAGAGGCGTTTGCAGCTGAGGCATATCTCAAGGAAACGAGCAGCAGGACTCTCCGACCTGCCAGAGATTACCCCCTCATCACTGTAAGTAGCTGTAGCTCTCTGCAGTATGCAAATACTGTAAATATTTGGTTCAGATTGAACAAGTGGCAATTTTAACACCGATCTTTTAATTTGCTTCAGCCAAACGAAGAAAGGAATGTTCTCGAGGAATCAAAAAATTACATACCATCTCAGTTAGAAGAGTCAGTACAGGTAAGTGGATTTTAAACACAAATAAGTTCTTTGTGGTATCCATTCAGAACACTCATACTTACTGGTTCGAAAATAATTAAAAGCCTCAGTTTAATGTGAAACCAGGTTTGGGATCAATTTTGATTGTGCAAATTGGACTGCTGTAGTATTGTTTCCCACCACAGGAGAACTGTTTACCGAACAGTGAGGGCCTCTAGTGGAAGACTTTCAGTAGGGCGACATAACAAATGTAGACAAAGATTTTGAGGACATAAATGCTTTGAAGAGTGATCTGGTCCTGGACCTCTGTTTTGGATATCATTCTTCCTAATATAAACTAGTTATCAATATCCAAAATCTACCGAAATACTCGTCTTAGTTATAAAACGACTGAAAACTTTCAGTAAGACTTAATTTCATTTTTCCTAAATGTAGAAACCTTCTGAACAAGCTGTTGAGGAACTGGTAACGGTTGTGCCTGAGGCAGCTCCATCAGTGGCAGACACAGTCTCACAAGCAGTGGCAGCAGTTTCTGTGCCAACTAAGTCAGAGGAACTGGATCTTCTGATCAAAGAAAAGGTAACCAGCTTTACAAAATCATGTGAATCATTTCTTTAAGCAGAAATATATAGCACCTAATCTTTGACCTTAAAATTATTTGGAGTATAAACACCGGCATGGACTAGTTAGGTCATAGCCTGTTTTAGTGCTATGCGGTCTATGGAAATCAGAAAAATAAGGGAGTAAATGGCAATGTTTAATTCATTTAATGTGGTGAAACTGGAGAATGGGGAATTGCTTGCTTAAATGTTATCAATTGTGCATGTGCAATGTTAAAACATATCCAGTTCCATTTGACAAAGTTAATGTTGAACTTGATCAAGTTGGTTGCTTGGCTGTGACTTTTTTACCATCTGAACAGCTGTTTGTATAGAACGTTTTTGAATGCTGACTTTGCATGAAAATATGAGAAGATGCTTCACAAACTCCGCTGATCATCTGGCAATGTATTTCCTTTTGCTCTTAGGCTCTGAATGATCTTGATGATGACTTGGATAACTTGGAGCTGGATGACATCGATACTTCTGATGTCAATTTGGATGAAGAGTTTTTGGATGACTAAGATGAAACCACCAAGCATTTTAAATACGTGACCAAATTTCTTACTGAATGAATGAGTGTACTTCCCAGCCTTTCCTCGTAATAAGTGAGATGTGACAAATCTTTCAACTTCATGGATAGATCTAAAGTGTTAAAAAGCTGAATCGTTAAGTTGGTGGGATTTTGAAGTGATTTATATCATACTGAAACACATATGGTTACCTAGCCAGTAGGCCACATCAACAAACAGCATGTCTAATGTTAAAGCACACTGTAAAGTACTTAGCGGGATTAGTGTTGCATAATTGAACAGTTGCTTCTATTATTCTGCTGTATTAACTCCAAATAAAATTGATTACAATTTTCATTACTGTGGCTGTGACAGTAGTCCTCTACAAAGGTGAATGGATAAGCCATGCAGTCTTTTTTTCCCCCAGACAGATAAACCTAATCTTGGGCTACAAGGAACTAGAACGGCCCATTTGATCTATTTCATATGAAAAATGCAGTAGTCTTTTTTGACTGGTATTGAGTCTCAAAGCATTAAATCTTCAAAATAAATAAAATCTCTGTACCTGCAGTGGTTTTAATTTAAGATTATTTATTTTCTAAGGGATCACATTACACTTCTGTAAGAGCTAGGTTATTTCCAGCAGTTGTCAAAAAATGTTAAAAAGTTATGTCATTGCTGCAACTGCTCATATGTAGGCAGAAGGTTATGTGTTAAGCCCCAAGTTCAGACTTTAGTTCATAATCGATTCTAATTCAGGACTTGTGGAGGGCTCCAGGCTTTACGATGAGACGTTAAATCAAAGATACATCTGCCTGTTCCGATGGATATTAATCATGTTATATTTAAGAAAAGGGCATTTTTACTGACTATTGATGCTCCAGATTAATCGGTCTTTTGACCCAGCTGTATGTGGGATTTCGCTGTTGCAGTTTGCCTACAACTTCTAGACAGTACTTACCTCTGAAGCACTTTGAGATGTTTTGACGTGATAAAATAGAAGTTATTTCTGATCTTGTTTCAAATCTGCTATGCCACAAATAAAATGATTTCAAAACCTATCGAGTTCCATATGATACAGTCCATATACTGATGCTATCTTGTGTGAAGGGCACCATATAAATACAAGTTGTTATCTATCCATGTACTATATTGGATAGAAAACATCCCATTCCAAATTGTTGTGTCTGAAAATTTAAACCTACATCTCACAAAATCCTCAGTTTTATTGAATTAAACTGCAAAATGATTTGTCGAAATCCCCAGCATCTTCATAATTTATCACTCCAGTATTTACTCCAATTGATCAGTTGTAATGAATTGACTGCTTTATGAATGCCAACAGGATTAAGGGTTTACTTTTCCATAGTAATGCCGCCTGAGGCAAATTGAAGGTTATTGCAAGTAAGTGTATAACATGAAGTAATTAAGCATTGATTTATTAGCAGGGTGATTACTGGAAACGTTTTGAACAGTGCGATATTTCCTTTGACTTGCATAAGGCAAGTCTACAGAGAAGATTATATCCCCTTTTTCAGGTTATGTCAATGAGAGCTCATACTATTTGAAGTGTGAAGTTTATTCAAAAACAGGAAGTGGGATGCAAATAAATATAAAATGTTATTTTATTACATTGTTATCAAACTGCTAGAGAAGACAAACGGAAGGATTGTGTTCTTCATATCCATTTACGATGCAGTGGCAGAACTATTTTGTGTTTCCTGATAAACTTGTAAAGCTAATTCAATGTAGCTTCCCTTCTTGGAATCTGTTCGACAAAATATCTGGGAAAAGAAAGGAGAGAATTACTCTTTATGGCTTGATTTAATTCCTGAGTATTCATAAGCTAGAACTTCAAGTTTTAAATGAAAGAAGCTTGCCACATGGTGGCTGTGTGTAAATGCACTACCTTTATGGTATTGAATCACACGAGCCAGCAAGATTTCATGCATGTAAGCTAGTGTGAAGTAGCAAGTAATTAAATTTTCCTTCAGTGCCTCTTGTCTACAGGGGAAAGTGTGAAGATTGGGCTTGTATGCGTTCTCCTTCCCATAGTCAAATAGCATATTGCCAATCATTTATCTGAGTTGGAACAAGAACAGAAGGTACCAGACAACCTTGTGGTCTGTGTAACTCCGTTAAAAGTGGACTTACAGGAGAGGGGATTGTGATCTATGGATTCAAAATATGTAAATCAATACATTTTTGTTACAAACTGATTTTGTATTGATGATTTTGTCCCGCATATAGGTAGGCCTGAATAAAATCAACAGATGTTCACATTAATAGCCAACTTTAACATGTTAAAAGAAAATTCCCTTTAGTAAGCAGAGAAAATTGGACAATTTGTCAGTTAGTCAAGCAAATTAATACACATTAGGTGACTGATCATACCTCACATTTTAGCACTTAACAAAAGTTATTATTTATTGTTGCACAATTGTTGCTAAGTAGTTTGTACCTTAAGTAAGTCAACACCATGGGCTTGTTGTTCCTTGGCTTCCATTGCCGATTGGGACTCTGGGTGCAGCATATGGTAAAGCTGCAGTAGACTAAAGGCATCATCCATTCTGCAAAATGCACAAAATTATTGCTTTAGAAAGTTATTGCTTTTAGGTTAAAAAATTCTAAATACTAAGCGTAGTGTAACTTTATGAATGCCTCCTTTACTTCCTTTCCAGCTCCCATCACCGCAGGCAAATTAATATTTACATATATTTAAAAATATATATATTGTGTATTGGCTGCAGTAAACACTACAGATATGACAAGTCTATACTACAAATCCTCATCATGAAGGTACTATTTGGTTTGAATGACCAGATAGCTTTTAAATCAGTAGATGGTGCTGTTGCCCTTTGAATTATTTTGTGGCTAAGTCAATGTACACACAGTATGCAATACAGTTACTGCCTGATATTCAACATACAAGTTCAGCTTAAATATATAAAAGCCTTTTTGAGATTTTTTTTTAAAAAACTGGTGTTACTGTCCTGTGAAGGGATGAGCATAATGAACAAGGAAGAAAGAGGCGCTTTTTAATTCCAAAGCCTGCTAGGAATAAATAACATCCCACCAGTGATAGTAAACCATTTTGTTTTATAAACACGCTCTCGGATGACAAGTACAATTTTGCAACATAAGTAATGGACTGCAACAAAACAAGGTAAAACTATTCAAATGGTATTTTAGAAAACACTTCACAAGTAAACCCAAAATGACACGTTTACCTTTTTTAAAAAAAATCAATAAGAAATGATCGTAACATTAGTTCTTGTTAATGTTCAGACACGTTGCAATTTTTCAACCGAAATTTCAAGAATCACAACTAGAGAGAACCATTGTAATTCTTCTGTCTAGGCATTAAGTAAAAATAATACCTGTACTCTTAAATGTTTTGATCATTCTGGCACTAATTTATTTATCCAATAATACAAAAAAGTTTAGTTTTGTACTTACAGGTCTTTTTGGATCATATTTATAAGCAAACCATCAATTCTCTTCCTGTTGGTTAAGTACCAAGCCAGCCCACCAAAATGCCTTGTTGAATGCAAAAGGTCATATTTGCCATCTTTATCAATATTCTCATAGGTCTCATGGTGAACCTGATTAAAACAGCGATTTTGAAAGAAGCCTTTAGAATTGACTCAGTCAAACAGCTTACTTATATCCATATCATTTATTGGTCTCAGTATTTTAAAGCCCGTCAAACTTATTTCTAATGGGTATACTGTACGAGCACCTTCTAGTTCTTTTCTGATATGCTATTTCGTTGGTTAGTTCGCATTTATTTAACTTGATTTGTTGAACTGCCAGAGTGGCTCATTTGGTAGCCAATAAATTTGATCATTTCACGGCTGTGGGACATCGCTGTGTGCAAATTGGCTGTCGCGTCCGCCTGCAAATTACACACACTCACTCATTACACTTTACAGTACATCTTGTGAAACTCCAACATTGACGACATAAGGCACGTTGAGAAAATTGATACTCACTCTTATATATTCACCAGAATCTGGCTCAAACTGGAGAAGACAGAGATCGAGAATATCTTCATGGCGATTTTGAGCAAATATGATCTGAAACACAGAACGCAGGATGAGCCTCCCACTGTGGAGGTTTCATGTCCAAAAAGCGGGTTTGTTTATGCACAATGTGAAGGAAGATCCCACGACTCACCATTTCATTGCACAGCTTGCTACTAACCCTTTCCAAATGAAAAGCTTCAAAAAGTGCAAAGACTGCAACATGTGGTCCATGTTATTCCAATTGAATTTTTAAAACATTTACAAATACTTGCTCACTTCTTGCTGAAGGTTGATATAAATTGAAACTTTTACACCTTACAAGCGGTTATGTTAAAATCTAGATTTGACCTTCTTCCGAACTCAAAAGATTTGGGTATTTGTGTGTTGCCTTCATATGAAATCCTGTATTGTCAATTCAATTTGTCAGCATCTCAAATGTTTCTCTTAAAAGTGTTTGTGTTCAGAGTGATAACCTGCTACTGTTTGGCAAATTACCAATTTAATTTTTTTTTCTCTCTCGCCAATCATTGGTGGGGCTGTTTCAGCTAACATAGCACAGATCTGTAAGCAAACCTTGAGGTCGCTTGGTTTATGTGGATAAACTCACTGAGCCTTCTGGTCAGCCAGTGCTTCGTTTTATTTTCAAACAGATGAGCAAAACATTTAACAATTAAATAGTTTTCAATTTGGGGTACTGTATTGCTGTAACTATCAACTATGCCACAAGTGCTTAGCACCCTCTGGTACCTTACCTAAGAGGCCAGCATTCACGTGCGAGCCATAAAAGCAGATCAGCCACAGGGGGAATTGCAGCCAGACCCAGCGAGCACACAAATGGACCTCCTGTTATGACCATTAGAATTCCCCATGGCTCTTGGCACCTTTGTTGTAAGAGGATACTTGTCCTGCTAACAGCCACAGCTGTAGATGAACTACACAGATATATTCAAAGTACCAGCATTCGGGAACACACACGCACTGAACGGGGCTTTGAACAGTCGTTTCACTCATTATCCTACGAAAAAAGAACCAGGCCATTTTCAAATTAGCTCAGCTACTAAGTGATTGAAAGGATAACAGATGTATTGTTCAGGAGACATCATTCAATCTTCAGATCTAGAAGTCAGACATTTGGCTGTATATCAGATAAATGAATCCATACGTGGAAGGGCTGACATGCAGGTACTGTACATTATGACCACGTTTCCTAGTAATCTGCCAGTCTGTGCATAATCGGGAAGAACAAAGAGTATAGGTCATCGTATCTAGCTCGGTAGCAGCAGGCTGTCGCCTGAGGTTTTTGCATTTTCTGTTATAGACGTGGCTGCAGGCCAAACATGACACATCAGAACCCACGGCACACCTGCTCACATTTAATCACAATCACCTTCCTCCCTTTACACAGGCTCAAGCCGGTCATTTTACATTCCAATCGGCAAATACTAAGGACCCTCATGTAAAGAGCTGAAAATGACTGAAAAGGAAAGAAACTTCCCCAATCACAAATTGGCCCAAGCTTATTTGGTTGCAAATGTTCTCTTGTGCTGGATTTTATACGAGTCTTGATTTTAATGTAGGGAGAAAGACTCGGGGAGAAAGAAAACTGTGTATCTGGAGCTTGTAAGGAAAGTTTGACAAGCGCAGCCACCACTCAAATTCATACTGAGATCTAAAGAATACTATGGTATTGGAATTATTTAAGACCAATTCATAAATTAAGGATGAACTCATTTCATCGGAGGAGAGAAAAAACTGAAAGTACAGCAAGGAATTTCTCCAATATTTGTGTGTAAATTCATTGGTTGAACACATTTTGTGTAGCCCAAATAATGTGTAACGCACACAAAATATAAAAATGTACTGTAGGATTTTGCATCATCCTCCAACCTTGTGGCGTATGAAATGATTACAAATCAACAACAACTTGCATTTATTTGCTGCCCTTCACCCGAGGTAGCTTCCCGGAGCGCTATCCTGCGTAAAGGTTTAATAAAAATCCATCCTGTTTTTACTAAACTTAGGTGTTCAATGCATCTTAAAAGCAAAGAATTACAAAATAAACATTGTGACAGCAGAAGATGTACCATGTGGTTATGACTTTTCCATTCAATCATATATTTTCATGTATGAAGGCAAAAAAAAATACTTTACCGAAATATTTTCACTCTTGAAGATTGGTGGTGGCACAATTCTTCGACCTTCACGGGGGAAGTAGAGCTGTATCATCCTATCGCGTTCCTCCCAGGTAGCTTTGCGCAACACGCCATTGGGTTCTCTTACTACTATGAATCGTTCCTTGAAACAAAGTAAACATTTTTTATAATTTATAAGCGGATGAGATCAAAAAGCATTGCAAGCAATGGTGGTACTCTATGTGTTGCCATCCAACTGTGTTTTAAACTGTATTTTACAGTTACTCATACATGAACTAATGGCCAAGTGTCATCGTTGTGCAAATAGTGCTAAAACTGCATAAGAGATAAGACCATAAAAAATTTATAAAATTAGCTTAAACAAAAAAAGACAGGAAATGTAAAAGGGACCTTCAGAGGCCTTAGAATACCACTTACTCTGTGCGGAGTGTCATATGATATGTCGGTGAAGACATATTTAGTCATTTCTAAATCTTTAAGTATCTTATCCTCTGCAAGAACATCATCGATTGGTTGCCTTTGGCCGAGCACTGGTGGCATTCGGAGAGCTTCCTGAGCTTCTTCCACTGCTTTAAGCCGAGCCTGGAATAGAGGGCAACGTGTTTGGTTCAGTATATTTACCCATCCATCACTCAGTGATCTCATACTGCAGGAAATTCATTCAAACTGATCGTGCTGGTTATGTATTAAAGCAGCATTATGTATTACGGATAAATGCCAAGTGGATCCATGCAGCAATTAATTTGTTTGGTATCCATTTGATGGACACACTGTATAAGAGAAATGTTCCCTCTGGAAGTAAAAGCAGGTTGTGTTAGAGGCAGCAGTGAACAATGGTGAATAATCTGGAACTCTATCCTGGGAATGTCCAGCCACCATAAGAACTATGACTAGGTCACCATTTATTATAGTTAAACAATACAATTCAGTAGAATTCAGTTGAGATTTACAAATAACACACACGGGATATGAAATAGGTTACAAACTTTCTACTACTTGTGAGTGTTAAATAGGTGTAACTAATTATCAGATTCAATAACTGGCAGTATCATTAACAATTTTGTTTTTTTTAACTGCAATACTGGTACTACGCTTCAAACACACATCTATTGAGACTTTTAACATAGTTTTTTCCCTCTTCTAAAGGCACTAACTCATGCTATTTTGGTTCCCCAGACACTATTCTTTGCACACTTGACTCAGTCGCCAACTATTCAACCGCACGAGATGAGAAGAACCAAGCCTGATAGTGATCTCACGCTATGTTCATTCACAGTTTCCAGCAGTGGACTTCTAGCAGGAATCCTCTTCCCAAGACTAGGTAAATGCAGCAGCCGATTTGCGCACAGCAATTTCCTATGAGCAGCCTTGAAGGTGAATGACTAATTTTAGCTGGTGAATTATTAGCCAGGACACCAAGAGAAACTCCTGCCTCATCCAATAGGGCCAATTTTTTTTTAATAACAACAATGCATTGGAGTGCCATCATAGGTTTTGATGAGCAGAATGTCCTGAGAATCACAGCACTTAGAAAATAGTGGTAAACCTACCTCCTCAAGCTGCTCATTTGTCATCAGTTTGTACGTCGGTGGCTTCAGCTCTTGTTTAACAGTCTTGAACACCTTTTCCAAATTCAAACCTGTCATTTTTGTGAGGATACTCTGCACATCCTCATCCATAAACTTGAACTTGCTGACATCAGCTGGTTTTGTGTCTGTCACAAAAGGGCAGTAAAAAGAAATGTCATGTATTCTTTCAAATTGAAATGAGAGCCATCTTTTATTACTTTAATATGTGGTGTGTCAGTCGAATTTTGTGAACTTGTTTTTCGCTCACAAAATATACAGTCAATTCACTTTACAGTATATTTTGTGAAGTGCTTTGAGACGTCTTGAAGACGTGGTAAGGCGCTATATCAGATGCAAGGATTATTATTTGTTATTATTATAACTTCATCAAAAATCAAATTTAACAGTCTGCATTACTCCTTACTCCTATTAACGCACTGTTTATTCTATAGAGTATATGATCAAAGCACTACATTTTTTTTTGCAAATTGGGTACTCATTTATCAGGATTCAATTACTACACATCAATTTTACGCAGATTGTTGAGACAGTTCTGGATTTACACAACGTTGACTGATGGCTCATATACTGCAGAACTGCTCAAGTGAAGACGTGCTATGTTTATTTAAACCCACAAACTACAGACAGGAGACTACACGCTCAACAAAAAAAATCACTCAACAGTTCTGTAAATTCCTTTCTTCAGTCCAATGATTTTTTTTTAAAAAAAGAACAATCTAAAATTCATTGTAAATGACCCATGTTGTAAATGAAAAAGGAATGAGCCAGTTCTCTAGCATTATAGGTTAGTATACAGATCGAAGCACCTTGAAGCCTAGGTCTTTTGCTCTGGCAAAAGAAACTCATGTTTAGTCACAAGTGAGATCATGATTCATAAACCTTGACTGGACAGACCAGAGCTAGACAGATGTTTGCGATTTTCTTCCGAGACATGTTCGGAACCTTATCTGTTTATTTCCTTGACCACATGAGATCAAACATTTTAAATCATGTCTGAAATTTAGCCAGTGTTCATCAAAACGCTATCCGTTGAACCACTGCCATTTGGGACACGCTCTGGAATCAGTATCCGTCCGCTCGGTTTTAGCTTAGTTCAGTTCGTTTCAAGCCCCATTTCACACACTGATTGGATTTTGGAGTATTTTCAAGCTTTGATAATTTTCATAGGTTAAAATAAAGAATAATTTAGCAGGGGAAGGTATGGGAAAAGTAAGATTGCTTTCCTGGGTGTTTGACGCATGTTGAAATCCATCACCATACTCCATCACCAGTACTCAAACCGAACTGCAAGTTGCAAGTATGTATTGCAACCTACACGTGGAACGTCTGGACTGGAATGGCCCCACTCTCCCCTTGAAGTGGTGTGCCCTGCTTGCCTAGATTCTGGAGTATTATAGTCAAGTTGACGACAGCGAGCGTTTGAAGGCCTCACTGCGTGCATTAGGATACTGCCTTTGGTTTGATTCGCTAAACTGCAAACTTCCTGCTGCTTTTCCAACCGGGATCTCCAACCCTATCCATTTGGGCTTTGGCTTGAAAGCTTAACGTGAAGCAAGTGGGAAGAATCTCTCGTTTGACATCAGCAGCGTCCTCGTGAATTGCAGACCTGACCAACTCAGGAACCAGGCCTCGGAGACCCATAATTCAAGAGTCATAATTCCCGAAAATTGTGAAATTCACCCTTTTGGCTCAACTTGGCCCAGCATTCAAATTGAAAGTAACTGAGGCTATTGGCTCTGTACCACTCCAACCCACTAGGCCTGTCATGAGACACTATGGGCTCATTGTTATTCACGTCAGTACTGGGTGTAATGAGATCGTATGATGGTTTCTGTAAAATGTTTCATCAATCCTTACAAAACATAAAACAATGCTTAAAAATATCCGTGAACGGACGTGCACACGCGTAAGAGGTTTGCCCACAAATGATACACTAATAATTATAATAATAATCCTTGCATTCGATATAATGCTTTTTCAGTGCCTTCGAGACGTCTCAAAGCGCTTCACAGAGAATATACTGTAAAGTGAATTGACTGCAATATATTGTGAGCGAAACAAAATACAAATGGCGCCCAACCTCTGGAACTCCATCCCTCAATCTCTCCGCCTCGCCCCCTCCTCCTTAGCCTCCTTCAAGTCCCACCTCAAAACCCTCCTCTTCGACCACGCCATCGGCCATCCCCCTTCCCCTCCCTTCTCCCTCCCTCCCCCCCCACCGAGGGGACCCCAGCTCGGGTCTGAAATGCTATCACGCTGTCCAGCGCCTTGGGACGGCCTCCCGACACATGTAATTGTGTTGTGTAAGTGGTGGTGGTCAGTCACCCACCACCACCCACCACCCACCCGGTCACCCATCCCCCACCCATCCACCAGGTCACCCACCACCCACCAGGTCACCCACCAGGTCCCCCACCCCCCACGCACCCACCAGGTCACCCACCCACCACCCACCAGGTCACCCACCACCCACCAGGTCACCCACCAGGTCCCCCACCCCCACGCACCCACCAGGTCACCCACCCACCACCCACCAGGTCACCCACCACCCATCAGGTCACCCACCAGGTCACCCACCAGGTCCCCCACCCCCCACGCACCCACCAGGTCACCCACCCACCACCCACCAGGTCACCCACCACCCATCAGGTCACCCACCAGGTCACCCACCAGGTCCCCCACCCCCCACCCACCCACCAGGTCACCCACCACCCACCAGGTCACCCACCACCCATCAGGTCACCCACCAGGTCCCCCAACACCCACCCACCCACCAGGTCCCCCACCCCCCACCCACCCACCAGGTCCCCCACCCCCCACCCACCCACCAGGTCCCCCACCCCCCACCCACCCACCAGGTCCCCCACCCCCCACCCACCCACCAGGTCCCCCCCCACCAGCTGCTGTGACTGTAACCCCGGACGGTAACAATAAGTGGCCACTTACCGGGGGGGTCCGGGGGGGTCGGGGGGGAGGGCTGTGCGCACAGTGAGCGCCTGTGGCCGGAGCTGCGCTCAGCGCTGAGCGCAAACCCCGACCTCAACCGCACGCGTTGCGCAACCGAACAGCCGACTCTGAACACTGCCATTATCACCACCGCACACACCTCCCGCACCGCACACACCTCCCGCACCGCACACACCTCCCGCACCGCACACACCTCCCGCACCGCACCGCACACACAGAGACACACACACACACACACACACAGGGAAAGGCCTTCCGCTCCAAAGGCAACACTGTACTCTGGGAGATGGAGTTTATTTTTTTTTATTTATATATTTATAGGGGTTTTTTTCTCTCTCTCTCCCCACCACCATATCCCCCCATATCCCACCGCCCGAATTGGCTCTCAGTGTTTTTAAACGTTGCATTTATTTTTATTCGCGTTTGTTGATTTGATTGTGACTGATGCGCCGCTGGAGATGCGGATTACATTGTAACACCGTGTGTCGGTTTTCGCTCCCGACGTGTTGCTCGGAAGCAGCATTTAAACCCCACACACACACACACCCTCACACACACCCACACACACCCTCACACACCCCACACACACACCCTCACACACACCCCCTCACACACCCCCTCACACACACACCCACACACACACCCTCACCCCCACACACACCCTCACCCCCACACACACCCCTCACACACCCACACACACCCCCTCACACACACACCCTCACACACACCCTCACACACACCCCCACACACACACCCCCCTCACCCCCCCACCCCACACACACACCCTCACACACACACACACACACACACCCTCACACACACACCCTCACCCCCACACACACCCCTCACACACCCACACACACCCCCACACACACACCCTCACACACACCCTCACCCCCACACACACACCCTCACCCCCACACACACCCCTCACACACCCACACCCCCACACCCCCCCTCACACACACCCTCACACACCCCCTCACACACACCCTCACACACCCCCTCACACACACCCTCACACCCCCCCTCACACACACACACCCTCACACACACACACCCTCACACACACCCTCTCACACACCCACACACACACCCTCACACCCCCCCTCACACACACACACCCTCACACCCCCACACACTCACACACACCCTCTCACACACACCCCCACACCCCCACACACACACCCCCTCACACACACACACCCTCACACACACACACCCTCACACCCCCACACACACACACCCCCCCTCACACACACCCTCACACCCACACACACACACCCTCCCACACAACCCCCCTCACACCCCTCACACACACCCTCACACACACCCTCACACACCCCCACACCCCCCCTCACACACACCCCACACACACCCCCCCTCACACACACACCCCCACACACACCCCCTCACCCCCACACCCCCACACACACCCCCTCACACACACACACCCTCACACACACCCCACACACACACACACACCCTCACACACACCCTCACACCCCCCCTCACACACACCCCTCACCCCTCACACCCCCCCTCACACACACATACCCCACACCCCCCCTCACACACCCCCCACACCCCCACACACACCCCCACACCCCCACCCCACACCCCTCACACCCCCCCTCACACACACACCCCCACATCCCCCTCACACACACCCTCACACACCCCCCCTCACACACACCCCCCTCACACACACCCTCACACACACCCCCACACACCTCCTCACACCCCCCACACCCCCCTCACACACCCCACACCCCTCACACCCCCCCTCACACACACACCCCCACACCCCCCCTCACACACACCCTCACACACCCCCCCTCACACACCTCCCCCTCACACCCCCACACACCTCCTCACACCCCCACACCCCCCTAACACACACCCCACATCCCTCATACCCCCCCTCACACCTCCCACACCCCCTCACACCCCCTCACACACATCCCCCTCACACCCCCACACACCCCCTCACACCTCCCACACACCCCACACCCCCCACACACCCCTCACCCCCCCACACACACCCCACACCCCTCACCCCCCACACACACGACCCTCACACCCCCTCACGCCCCCACACACCCCCACACACATCCCCCCTCACACCCCCACACACCCCCCCACACCCCCACACACCCCTCACCCCCCACACACACACCCCACACACCCCTCACCCCCCCCACACACGACTCTCACACCCCCTCACACCCCCACACACATCCCCCCTCACACCCTCACACAACCCCTCACACCACCCACACACATCCCCCCTCACACACACACCCACACCCCTCACCCCCCCCACGCACACACCCCCCCCTCACCCCCCACAAACCCCCCCCCACACACACACCCCTCACCCCCCACAAAAATCTAATTTTTTTCTCTCTTTTTAAATTTTTTTTATTTATTTTTATTTTGTAAATCTCATTTATTTTTCATTCGCAGTGAAATTGCTCCTCACCCCATCCGTCCTTTGCATCTTCATCGTTGGGGGTATTGATTTCTTACGTTATATAGAGATATATACATATAGATATATATATTTTTTTAAATTGTGGCACTTCTGTTGGATTCGTTTATGAGTGATCACAGGATTTCATGACTGTGTGGCATAATGTGACTTTCTTTGTTTTATATTATTTACAATTATTTATATTATTTAAAAAAAAACTTGACTTAACAGGTGCAGAGGACAAAATATTTATTACACGGTGTGTGATAACCACTGCAGATGGTAGAACGAAGCTGTGATCTGCAGCACAACGTTAACATGGACCACTTCACCACTTTTCTGGGTTATAAATTTGAATTAAGGGAAACCTTTTGGGCTGTGTTTCTTTTTTTTTGGGGGGGGGGGAGAAGTCTCGAGATTCTTCTATTTGTAATTGCAAGTCCATAGCCGGATAAGATTCTGCATCATTTTTACTTGAGAGGTCGATGATCCATCAGCCACCAACATTTTCCAAATGTATTTAACCCTAAGTGGGGTTTTTTTAATTGAAAAAAATGTGTTTTTTTAGGCCAGTCGTGAATCTTGTCATCGAAATTTTGTTGGCAAACTCCTCCCCAAACCATACCCTTGTGTTTAGGATATTTGACTCAATGTTTACTAATCCACACTACTGGACCTGCAGCTGAAAAAAAAAAGATAAGAGCCAAGGACAAGGGAGCAGACTGGTTTGCATGCAACCAGTACATGTAATATTACCTCTTCGTAAGACTGGAAAATAGATGTATTCCTCAATCTGTCAATCCACTGAACAGGTGTCCACCTTTATGCATAATCTGTGAATACACATAACATGTGTATTAACAGGACACCTCACGCTTTGCATTGGAGTGCGGGATAAAACAATACACTGCTTGTGTTGCTGTGACTTTCTGCTCACTTTGCTTAACGCGTTTACTGATGGTTTTTTTTTTGTTTAATGGACGTCCCTGGCACATGCAGCATTGATGCATCAATTTGCCTTTGAGCAGTGAGTGAGCTGTTCCTGCCTGTGCGATTCCAAACTTGCATCTCGCATTGTAATTCGTGCACCAAATTGCTGTGTGCTGCGACCTCTTGCATTAGTGGTAGGTGAACACTGCATCATCCTCGTGGCTGAAATTTGTCGTGGGTGTGGGAAGAATATTTTTTTTCCTTTGCAGACCTTCGGAGCTTGTGCTCTTTCACGCCGCCCTGAACGTGATCTGCTGCTGTTTTGCTGCAGTTGAGAATGATTAGGTCATCTGATGGCTCGCCGATCTCATCGTTGCACTGGGAATATTTGCATTCCTGGCATGAGAATCGCACCACCACCAAATGGATTCATAGACTAGGAGCCTGTGGTAACATCCATCAGCTCTGAACAGAAAAAAAATCAATTTCCATTGGAATTCAGATACACAAGTGGTTCACTTGCAGCGCAGACAATGTACTGAGGCATCGCAATTGCTATGGACACTTCAATGGGAAGGTGATGTCCTTGTGGAATATGCACCAGTTGTGTCGATTGGCCTATTTGCAGTGGTATAAATTCAACGTGATGTGTAATTCAATAGTTTCGATGCAAAGCAATTATTTGCACTCCAAAAGGTACACGAGTATCTCCAAACCGAATATAAACGTTCAATTAAACAACACCGTTTGGCTTTTTCTTCTCGTAATTTGGAATTTATTTTAAAGGAGGATGTCTGTTTCCACAGGGGGGGGGAGCTACGAAAGAGATCTGCTGTTGGTAGTCAAAGCTTTTTTAAAATATATTATTGGCAACCTATTTATTGGTAACCTTTTTCTTACAAAATATTGGGAGACCACCTAACAACGCGTAAAAGATATGTCCTGACAGCCTGTGAAATTTGAATCTATTCCACTTGTGTAGCTGACTAGAACCATGAGCCAGTTTGCTGAAAAAAAAATCTCATTTCATTGCCAGCCATAGCATATTCTTTTGAATACCACATGTTTGGTGGGGAAAAAGAATTGTGTGTCACGAAATTCGTAAGCAGGACGTGTTTTTAAGGAGTAAAATCAGGGGCAAGATCAATGAACACCATTGCACCTTGTGTCGAGGTATTTGAGAGCCATCCTGAAACATCTTCGAGAAAAGGTAAAATGTCAACTGGTCACAATTAAATCTTAATGTATTAGTTTTAGGATTTAACGATATCTCGGGGTCAAGGTTAGAGATTAAAGTCGTGAACTCCCAGCTCTTTGCATCTGGCACGATTTGCTTGTACTCACCGACAACACCTGGAATGATTATCCTGTTTTTTTTTTGGAAAAAAAAATACATTCAAATCCTTACATTAGCGCCTCTCACGTCTGAGAACTGCGTGTGTGTTGTCAAAAGTGGTGCAGGTGGAAAGTGCACAGGTTTGAAAACGTGGCCACGCATCCGTTTCTGTCCAGAAAATCGTGAAGTGGAGCAAATTTGCACGATGCAAATAACCATGGATGTCGTACATTAGGTTTGCTATTCATGAAAAAAAAACTGCCACCATATGTATTAACGTTCAACGGGACACTATTAGAGCGATGCCTCACTCAGACACCATCGCCTCCCTTCAAATTCCCCCAAGTGGCGCTGTTGGGTTTCCAATGATTTATTGGGTTTCCAGTTCCCCTGATTTGGAACCTCTTTATCATCACTCCATCTTCACGTTTTGTATTCGTTAATTCTTTCTGCGTTATTTCTCGTTGACACGGTGCACCCGTGAAGGAGTATTAAAACGATTTGCATA